TAGTTAGTATATTACTAGACAATCAATGGAGTTAGTATGTCACATCAAATTTTAATATCTTCTTCTTTGTTATGTGTATGGTATATTACTAGATATACGTACTGTGGGTGATAATCAAATACCCAACTGATCATCATCCAACCTATATAACAATCTAAAATTATTTTTAATGATAAGTATATGTAGTTCCATAAATATCATATATATGTACACTACTGCTTGTATGAAAACTATTTACGTGTAGAGTGTTCACCATTCTTAAAGGACTTTTTTTGCTAGCTACTGATCAGTCAATCTATGTACACACATATTGGATAATTAGGATATATTGGATAATTAGGATATACTCTTTAAAACAAGTGATTATACTTAAGGATATTGTGATTATATTTTTCTAAGGGCACAAATAGTTAGTTCTCAAGGATATTGTGATTAAGTTATATTAAAACAAGTGATTATTTTATCCTTATTAGTTAATAAAATGAAAAGTACTGGTTTGGTCATTATACTTAATATATTTCTAATTGATATATAGTACTAATAAACGCATTTGTCCAAATGTGTTGAGATATAACGGTAAATACAGTTCTCTTTAACTGAAAATACAGTTTTTTGTCTTTCCAAAATCAGAACCATGTACTGACAAAGCATCTTGAATATAATTTTTTTATGTAATTAAAAAAAAAAACAGTTCAATAATCAAAATAGAAAACAATACCATCTACGAACTAAGATATAAAAATAATTTTAAAAAAAGATATAAAAATAATAATAACAAGTTTTTATTAATTATCACCTTGAAGAATTGCTCCACAGGCCATATTGATTGTTAGCCCCCTGATTCATCCCCAACCTTTGAATCGATGACTGAGATCCCATGATGCATTGAACATCGACAGAATTATCGTCTGAGATTTCACCAGCAGAACCATTCTCAAACCCATCAGATTGACCTATAATTAAAAAAAAAAAAATCGCGTGATCGATCAGAAGAACAATTTGAAGTTGTAATCATCAAATGAATTAAAAAAAATTGCATACCTGAAGAAGCTGCAGGTGCATTGGTGTTCTTCACAGTCCTATACATCTACAGTCATACACAATTAAAATTACAATCCATATGATATTGAAACAATATGCTAGAATTAAGAAAATATTAACGCCCCGGCATCTAGTTTAAAACTGTAGTGACCAATAAATATTGAAAATAAATAAATAAATTTATGCTGTTGTTGTTTTTATTATTATATTATTTCATGTTTTTTGGGCAAAATTGAAGTTTCTCTTTTTATTTTCCGGCTGCATGATTCCTGCTTCTAAGGTAAAGTTCTGCTGCAAAATCTGCAGTATTTGTTGCAGAACCCCCTACACTGTAAATGACAAAACAAAAGAGACCCAAAGAATTAACCATTTCCCCCCCTTTAATTAAAAAAACATAGGGTCTTTGTTATTTTTTTTATTTTTATCTTTTATGAAGCACACATATTATCAATTTTGGATACCTGCAAGTGAGATTTAACATGAGCCAGAGTCAGATCCTTCACATCCATCAGCTCCAGCACTGATTTGGGTGTTGCCCCTAATCCCCAAAAATAAATAAAACAACACAAAAAAAAACATTAATCTAAAAACCCAAATAAACTTAAAAAACCAACAAAAAATCTACCCCAAAAAAAATAAAAAAGAAAGGGAAAATAAAATATTATCTCAAGCTCTAGCTAGGCTTACTTTCATGGCCACCCAAGAGCTCAACAGCATGAACAAATCTAGCATGAAGCGTAGTAGTCCACCGCATCCTCGGCGCTCTCATGCTCCTCTTCACCGGAACGATCCCCCTCGGAAAAAACCTCGACGAAGAAGTCGAAGACGGCGACGGCGACGACAGCCTCGACATGTTGTTAGCATTTGAAGAATCATAGAAATGGGCTTGTGCAGCATAGACCGGGATTCCTCTGATGGGCCTCAAGAAGCCCATCTCAGCTTGACTGCCACCGTTAAGGCAAGGGCTGGCGTTTGCGGCGCCGTAGCCCGCAGCTCCATGATCATGAAGACGGTGATGGTGGTGGAAATGGGCCAAGTGGGCCAGGTGGGCCGAGTGGGTTTGGTAGCCGGGGGTTGGGATCGAGGTTGAGAGGGAGAGGTCGATGTCGGTGCCGAGATCTTTTGTGGGTTTTGTCCAGAACCCTAGATGGTGGTGGTGGTGGTGGTCGGTTAGATCCATGTGGGGGTGATCATTTGATGTGGGTTTAGGGTTTGGGGGGCTAATTTGCAAGGAGAGGTCAGGTTGAACTGGAAAAAGCTCCATTTGTTGGTTTTTGATTTTTTTTGGGGGGTTTGGGTATTGGGTTTTGGGTCTTCTTCTTCTTCTTTTTCTTCTTCTTCTTCTTCTTCTTCTTCAAGTTCTTGATCTTCTTCCACTAGCTAGCTGATGTATAGCTGAGTGTGAAGTAGGAGAAGAAGCAAGTGGGAGTTTAATGTGATTTGATGTGAGGGTGAATATTGTGGTGTGGTGGTGTGTGTGGAATTATGGGGGTTGTCTGGGTTAGGATTTGATTTTGTGGAGGAATAATAATGGAATATGGAGAAACTGGAGAGAGAGAGAGAGAGAGAGATTGTTCTTGTGTATGGACTTGTGGGGGCAAAAGGGAGATGGGGTGATAAATATAACTATGCTGTGAGAAAATGACAGTTGTGTGAATGTCTATGAGAGAAAGAGAGGAATTTAATTAAAGGATTTTTATAGTATTTTTTATTTGCTTTTCTTAGAGAAAAATATTATTTTGGGGATTTTTTTAGAGAGATAGAGATGAATTTTAAT